GGTTGCAATCGTCTCATACGTGTTTTCCAATCAAGGTTAGGTATGCACCAGTACCAGTTAACTGGGTACGAGGTACCTAAACGGTTTAATGATCAAACAATATTATAAACTGCTATTTTTTCCATGAAGCATATCTAAAGATCGAGTCTGGCACATTATAGGTAGAGATTTAATTCTCTAAAAAATATTTACTAGAACTGTGTTTCTAGAAGCCAGCTTCCTGGAAAATAATCGTAACATGGTTTTAATAAAACATCGGTTTTCACGCCCTCTAATGACAGACAATGGTGATGCAGCTCCTTTTATCTGCTGCAGCTGATGTGACAAACCCTTATGTTTCAGTCATTTTTTCCTGAACGATCATTTTCATTGATTTTCGTTGGTGAAGAGTTTTCTGGCATACAACGACATCAGATGTGAAGTGAGGAATTCTGATTGTTCTATGGGCTGATAAACAGCAAGAAGAAGTGACTTTGATGAAGTATGGTCTGATTCTAAACCCAGAACACATCGTACAAGCAATTGGCGAAACTGCAACAGACTTCCGCCTAAATACTCTACAGTTCTCCATAAACGATCATTTTTTCGTTTCAGTCTCTTTTCGTATGCATCTTGAAAATTCGATATCTCGAAAACAAGACGCGAGGGGATAAATCCTCTTGAGGTTTTTCATACCTCATTGAGGTCTACCTATCGCCAAAAGATGGGACCTAAGGGGCTTAAACACCTAAATATGTTCCCTCATAAGGTTAATTGTTCCGGTACGAAGTTTGGTGTTGAAACCTTAATGTCTATTCCATTTATTGTTGTCGGCCAAACCTTCTCTGCTAATAATGCAAAGTAATCTTCATTATTTCCAACTCCAACTTTAAACTGTTGTCTAGCATATCGTGCCAAGGTGAACTTGCCTATTAGTTGGGCATTTTGCTTCTTAAAATAGTCGTACAGTTAGTTGTTCAGCGATATAAACCACGGACAGTTTTCTGGCTTTGTCTGTAAAGTTGATTGTGAAACACGGTAGATTATGTGCCACTGCGAGCCTCATTTGTTCGAACGGCACTTTATATTGTCTTTGTGGAAGTAGTGGAGGTGATGATGCTTGGCGATCAAAACGGTTCACAGTTTGATTATTCTGCCGTTTTATACCTCCAATATGACCATCGCTAACTTCTAATCGATTTCGTTTCGGTGTTGACGTTTTGTTTTGCATGTTCCAATTTTTCAATAGATTATTATTGATTGTCGTCGAGTTCTGTAGTTGGGTATGTTGCTGTAGCGAGTTCTGCTGAAATGTAGAGGCGTCTTGTAATTGATTTTGTTCTTATTCACTAGGTGAACGTCTTAAGGGTTGTGGGAGTGAAATTATTTGTGCATTTTGGTTATTCTCAAACACCGGTTGAATTTGTACCTGGTGAGTTTGCCCGTAGTAACTTGTGTACCCATTTGCTTGATACTGTTGCTGAAAAACTGGTGGGCCATATCGAGAATACAGAGCATTTATATCCAAAACTTCCTGACCATTTCTATCAACTGTCATATACTCGTTTACATTTCTGATTGGAACTAATTGTTAATAGTTCTTATTTCCATCACTTTCATAACTTATTCCATAATCTAACTGTTTACTAAGATTTTTATTACAATTACCGTTTGATCCCATTGTTTTATCAACTGTAAAATCAAGGAATAAAAAAGAAATGGTGAGTGTGTATATGTATACTGATATACACACTCGCAGAGATAAACGAAATAAACGCAAAGTAGGTCCGTTCACGATAGTAAAAAAAGAAAAGTCTTGAGTGAAAGCATCATCATATTCCAACATCAATTCATAAAGATAAGCTAGTGATACCTAAGATAAGCTTTCGATACTTTTTCCAATTTCTAAATCATTAGATGGATACGAGGCTTCATGATTGAGACCAATTTTTTTTGATGATTATTAATTAGATTTAAAAAGTGATCTCAATTTGCAAGTGAAAATTTTATAGCAGAAAAAGCGGTCTCAATTTGGAATGCATATATTCTCTCATTTCTTATACAAATAAAATGTGGTCTGAAATTTGGAATAGAGAGTTTGTTCTTTCCACATACTTTGTACACTGTTTATAATTTCGAATCACTTTTTAATTAGGAATAATTGGCTACTATACAGACAGAAACTGATTGAAATATTTTTCAAAACTGATGCTTAAACTAAATTGAGCTGAGAGCGACATTACTGGATCGGATGAGACTATAAAAGTGAAGAGCATTACCTTGAAACACAATATTTCAATTCGAATTTTTCTGCGAGTCTGGGCCTGTACTCGTAATTGTTGTTCGTGTTCAATAACAATAAAAGATGATGTCATAATTGGTAATAGTGGTATTGATGATAATGGCACTCATTATTCAATGCATGCATTATCTAAAATTACCGGAGAATGTTCTAAATTGTGTCAGTTCAATCAGAAAACGTGTTTTAGAAGAACCAACAACTCCAATAGCTCAAATTTGATTGATCAACAAGTGAAAAAATTTCTAAGTACTTTGTGAGTTTGCATTAATCAAATTAATTTAATTTCATTAATTAAAGAGTTATACTTTTTTTGGAGATTTTTTAATACATAGCACTCTGCTTTTTATTGCTAATAAACAGTTTTGTATTCCGCTTTCCCGTGAATCTTAGTCAATTCAGTTAATATATTTATTTGTTTATAATGCGTAGCTTCGTTTACAGTAGCTGATTGAAAATAATTAATAGTTAAATCATAATGTTTATTAATCATATTCTGCTTTTCAGCGTAACAAGAAGCGTGAATTTCCGCAATATCAAAGGAGCAATTCAATTCATCATCGTTTATGTATTCCAACCACATGTTCAGTGCTTGATCGAGGTTTGATAATGCTTTAGTATAATGCACTTGCGACGGTGACCGGCAACCGAGGCACTAAAACTTAGTGGTTAAAATCCATTTTTCCGATGGAAATAAACGAATTAATTCATTAAATGCAAGTAAATTTATGAGGAGGTTAAAAACAAAATAATCAGAGAGAGTGTAAAAACACGGAACAAAAATTATGTTTGTAGGAAACTGTCACTCTCTTCCTTGTGGATGTAATCAACAGATATTCGATGAAAATAATATTTTTCCTTCTCTTATATTCGGAATATAAGAGAAGGAAAACTAGTTTGTAGAGCTTTTCTCCTTAAACTCCGTTTAAGGAAAAAGCTCTAAGAAAAAAAGTTTTACAAACTAATTACTTTAGAACTACCTTTTCTCTCGAATTTGTACTGATAACACACAGTTAGTGGAAACGTCAGTTTTTCAGTGCTTCCGAGAGACTTCTTGAAAAATCTGCAGAAATCTTGGGTGAAGATTATGACAGCAGACATCTTGGGCTATCTAATAATGTGCTTTGCTTAATATTGACATTTTTACAAAACTTTTCTTTTAGTATCACCAGCATGTTTCTTTATGACTCTAATAAAATTCAGTTGAGATAACCCTGGATTTCTCTTCAAGACTCGATAAAATACATCGTAAAATTTGGATGGATCTGTGGACTTACAGGTATATAGAATATATTACGATTAATTTTTATTGTCTTAGAGGGAGAGTAAATACTACTTTATTCCAGTATTTTATCGAGTCTTCAAGAGAAATTTAAGGCTATGTCGATTAAATTTTATTAGCATCATAAAGAAAGCTACTCGTAATACTAAAAGATTTTTTTGCTTTAAAATAATTACATTATTTACGAATGTTGTCAAATTTCCGAGTTAAAAAAAAATTTTGATTTAATCTTATTGTAGTGTTTCATTTCTACTTTATTTCATTTTCTACTTAAAACTAATGTTCGCAATTAGTTTAGTTCACTATTCACTGAATAGATAAAGTTCGAACACACATTATCTCTGATTATTATGATCTGACGAGAAAGCGGGAAAGTCATAGTAGTGAAAAAGAGTTTTTTTAGCTGTTAAATATAACAGAAGAAAGTATGATTTTTAAACGTTAACCACCAATTTAGTTACAGATGTTGATGCATTCTAAAATCTAGAAACGTTGCTTTTCTATCTATCACTTCATCTGTAAAGAAAACATTACTACACGTTATATATTTATGCAATTACAAAACAAGGCAGTTATGTACAAAACAGTTCTAAATTACGTTATATAGTACCTACACCGACTTAATGAACTGCACAGGTTCTTGAAAGATCTGGGGCGAAACTTGAGAAATCTTCAAAGGTTTGTCAAGATCTGCATTCAGGATTTTCTCCTGGGACTACCACCCACCGTCGGAACGGTTGTCTTTTGTAAGACCGACGTCGTATATCGCTTCATTTTAGTTTGTACACTATCATGATTTTACAACTTTTTTTCAGAATTAGATTTAAATTCTCCAGTTCTGTCTGTTTGTTCTGTGTTGCTTTGAATTTTTTCCTGTCTTTATCTGTGTGTGAGAGAGTGAATGTGTAAGTGTAAAAATCTAACGGCAGAAGAGTGCTAAGGCTTCAGTATGAAACAAATCCATAGATTTCTATGACGGCTTCCAGAGAACCGAACTGGTGTTCCCCAGATCTTTTAAATTTTTGTAAATTCGTTTTTACTTGTGAAAATATCGTCTCAGGTCTTGACTAGCGAATGATGAAAACCGCAAGCCTCTATCTTTTATTCCTTTTGAGTTATTCAAAAAATAACCACCAATCTTTTATTTTAGCGCTGATAGTAGTCCGACAAACATTAAAAAAGAAAGAAAAATGAACGGAATATTCACATACCAGAGATTACCAGTCCCTGCTCTCGAAGACTGTTGGCGAAAAAGAGAAAACCAAACTAAATTTCTTCCCAAGATCGAACCATAAGTATGGTGCTTTTCACATTTATCTCAACAGTTGTTGAGTGAAAGTTACTAGATACAGTTTATGTTTAAAAGGATGAGTCATTTCTGATAGAATGAAAAGAAATACTTAACGTAGAGAAGCAGAACATGTGCATTGTACAGTGATATCGTGCTTTGCTCTCGTCGTGTGAAAGTTATCGTTCTTTGTTCGATAAGAACAAGGAATAGTAACACCCTCATACGGTGTGGACGGAGTTTGTGTAGCTTGTCGTGCCCTAACTCTGTCTTTCTCGAAGGAAACCACCTGATGAGACCCTTGAGAAAGGTCGAAACCGGTCGTGGTATCTTCTTTGATTCTTTCAGAAATGAATTCTGTCTGAGTCCCTAGTAACTAAGAAGGCGGTTGTAAAATTACTAAATATAATTACATTTAAGTCGAGTTTTATATACAAATCTAGAAGAACACCAGTCACACATGCTGTGCTGAATGTTTTGACAATGGCATCGGCATATTTGTAAACAGCTGTGATGACAATGCCTAGCGCCGAATTGCATGCAACAACAGCAACCGCCAACCACGAATAACCTTGGAAACATCCTTTCGACCCTTGGCTGTAAATATCAGGCAGGAAGAAAAATACGCATAAATTCAAGGCAAAACCAAACGTATATAGTATCATATTTTGCAGGTGGAGATTGACTGAATGAGTCTTAACTATCTGTTCATTCCACACCGAGCAAATAGAAGTTATGAGACTGCTACCGAGAAGAATGACGTAGTATTTGACGGCGAATAACGGAATATATTTTGGCACGCATCGTTTGATCGGTAACAATAATCAAACCGATCACTTGTAAGAGAATTGAACCCCACTGTTGGCTAGTAATCAGTCGATTAAAGAACGTCCACAGCAATATGGCAGATTAGAACGATGAAAACGATTTAAATAGTGAAATTGATGCGATATCGACGTACAAGAATAAGACGAAAACCAACTGGTTGTTCGTACAGTACAATATAGCAAGTCCAAAAGTATGAGCGGTAAACTGCCAATTTAATTCACGATGTAGCAAATGTCGACACACCGCAATTCGATGAGAGAAGCCTGTTAAACTTTGATTTTCTTCTGTCGGAACATAGTAGTACAACAAACAAGAGCTCATACATAATTTGATTAGTAAAAAAAATACCTTTGAATCTGTTTTGTTTCCCAGAAGTCGAAAACACTTTTCTACTATTGACTTCAAAATATAATGTACTTCATTGTTTGTAATAACTTTTGCAGGAAAGGTGCTAGAGACATCAACATCTACGGAAATGATCTTTGCGAAGATCAAACTCTAAATATGACGCACATATTCATTAACTCGACTGCA